CGGCATTATGTATTATCACACACAATCTGTTCTGCTAAGTTGACCTGGTGTGGATCCGCCTTAACCACCTGCCCTGATGAAGAGACCAAGACTTACCTGCAGACAGCTGCTCTCGCCGTACGTCCTTCCCGCCCGAACCTGGCACACAACTCGTAATGCCAGAGCCAGGGGATTTCCCACAGACGCCGGGGCCACGCCACGATCCGCGCCGGCCGGCTTGGTTGGTGGAGCCACGGGCACTTCGTACGTCACGCGTCACGAGACGAGATCACGCATTACGAGACGGGACGAGACGAGACGAGACGGGACGAGACGAGACGGGACGGGACGGGACGGGACGAGACGGGACGATGGATTTAATGTTACGCGTTATGAGACGAGACGAGGAGAGGCAAGACGAGACGAGACAGCGAACTCAGCGTCACGTGTCACGAGATGAGACGACATGGCGGAATCTGCATTTGGCGTCACGAGACGAGACGGAACGAGACGAGACTAAAAGAGTCGCGACGAGACGAGAGAGGGAACTCAATATAGCACGTCACGAGACGAGACAAGACGACGGACTTTTTATTTGATGTCACGAGATGAGACGAGACGAAACGAGACAATAGGAGACGAGATGAGACGAGACAAAATGAGACGTGACGGGACTGGAGGAGACAAGGTGGCGGATTTAAATGTTACGAGACGAGACGAGACAAGACTAGAAGAGACGAGATGAGATAGGGGACTTAACGTAACGCGTCACGAGACGAGCTAGAGGTGATGAGACGAAACTAGATGAAACTAGACGAGACGAGACGAGACGAGACGAGACGAGACGAGACAAGGCGACATATTCTACGACACGGGACGAGACAGGACGAGACGAGACTCGTAATATACGTTTGACGAGACGAGAGAATTCTTTAAGTTGCACCACGTTTTATTGACAGTGTCGAGGCAACCTGCGTCCTGAATGATCTTGACATTTTGTCAGTAGGCGTGTAGTTTAGTGTAAGCGATAACTACAATTACAAAACACCCTTTCATATTGAAATAGATCGCCATGAAGACGGACCACCAGCCTATCAGTTATTGTAAAGAAAGAATTAAAGCATAAAAGCAAGAAAGCAAGCAAGAAATCAGGCAAGCAAGACAGAAAGAATAAAGAAAGAAATCAAGAAAAAAAAAGAAAGAATACAAAGACGATCTACTCCAGTACTGAAAGCGTCAAGGGTGTGCTTGTCAGCCTAAATGGTCATAATATTTTTAAATATGTGTACTCCATCGTAACATGTTATATCCCTACTACTCTAAGGGTAAAAGTAAAGCTTGGCCCCTAACGTCAGCACACATCACGACGATCACAGCGCACTGTTCCTTGTTCATGAGAGATATAGCATCAACTTCACTGTTATTCCTACTTCGAATCGGATGTTACTCACAAGGTCAAGCAGTTCGTAATCATAATACTAATTTCAATTTTGTCACTTTACCTGGATACCTGGAGGTGTCATCGGTGACTCAGAGGTTAACATGCGATGACCCGCCATTGCTTTCCGGTCTCTAGCTACCGTTATTCATTCTGCCATGTTAAGGCCAGTCCAAGCTTTTATGATATCGGTCCACGTTGTTCTGTGTCCACCGTGGGACCTTTTACCCCACATTCGTTGTGCAGTCATTACATTACTTTGGGATCTCGTACGTGGTAAGTTCCCTACATTTCCCACGGAGGCCAGCCACAAACGTCCTTTTGGATCGTGGCTTGACCGAGTGTGCCACACCACGATCTATCGTGATTCGACACCATTCATATCATTATTATGCTATCACGACGCGGAGGAATTAGGCGCATGTCAAATTTTGGGCATACGGAGTTAGCACTACCATCTTAAAGCTTGTTCATTTTGTCTAGCTTCAGGACAAAATAATATCCATTTTTCTTGAACAAAAGTCGAGATATTTGCGATTAAAAGTTGCGGGTGTCGCATGATGTAAAAGGCAAAACTAATGACAAAATGGCCGTCAAAGTTTGATAAATTCCGAAGCTTACGAGCCCTTGAAAACTGCAAATTTACATTTATTGTGCCTTTGATCATCCACACAGAGGTGTGCTTATAAATGGACATGTTGAGCAAAAAAAAAAAGGAAAAAAAGAACTTTCGAAAATTCGAAAATAGCCTAACGGTCTGGGGAAAAATTGCTGGTCTCTTGGATGTCTTTATTTTGACGATTTCGTACTTATTCACACCGATGCCTCCTAACTTCACGATTTTGAAAGTTTCCAGTCTCTGAGCACCGTTTTTCGTTTAAAATCTAAACACAACGCGTTCAAGATGACTTAAAAACGGAAGTCATGCACGCTTTTGTTTTGTCTGCAGATGTCTCGCTAGGACTCATGAGGACAAAGCAAGTTTTGATCTTACATGCGTTCAACGTAATAATAGCTGTGGGTTGACCCATTTTCTTCTTCTTCTTCTTCTTCTTCTTCTTCTTCTTCTTCTTCTTCTTCTTCTT